GTTTGACATGTCTGACTTATAACCATTTGTCCAGCAACTGTTTGAAGGTACAATGGCACTGAATAAAATGATGTACAACTACATAGTCCTTGATTTAACAACACTTCATTTAGTGACTGTTCAAAGTTACAACGGCACTGAAAAAAGTGACTTATGACTGTTTTTCACCCTTATGACCGATGCAGCATCCCTACGGCCACGTGATTTAAAATTTGGATGCTTGGCAACGGCTCCTATTTATGTCACTTGCCGCGTCCTGGGGTCATGTGATCCCCTTTTGCGACCTTCTGACAAGCAAAGTCAATGGGGGGGGGAAGCCAGATTCACTTAACAGACGTGCTACTAACCCCACTGCTGCAATGATTCACTTCACTTAACACCCGTCTCAGCAATGGAAATGTTGGGCTCAATGGTATCTACCTCTAATCGTTGCATTTACAACTATTGCAGCATCCCCTTTGGACACGGGATCAAAACTCAGGAACTTGGCATGTATGTATGAATGGTTGCAGCATCCTGGGGTCATCTCATGCATGTGTGAAGGGTGTGAAGCTTGTGGCTCAATGGTGCTTTCACCATCTGGACCAATGGTTCTCAACCTGTGGGTCGGGACCCCATTTGGGGTCGAACGACCATTTCACGGGGGTCGCCAAACAACGCAGTCCACCATTTTTTCCCCCCTTTTCCTTAGCTGTGCTACTCCCTTTTATTCTATTGGCTCTTGAAAGCCAGTAGAATAGACTCTCTTGAATGGAGTCTAATTCTATTGGTTTTCAAAAGCCAATAGGAATTCTCCAGGTTGTCTCTGCCCTGCTGAGCCCGCCAAAAGTCCCATTCTGCAAACAATGCTGTACCAGTTGAGTAGTCCTCGACTTACGACCGGTTGAGTAGTCCTCGACTTACGACCGGTTGGGGGGTCGCGGCATTAAAAAGGTTGAGAACCACTGATCTGGACAAAAGCAGAAAGCTTCTGCAGAGACCCACAAACTGGCCTGATTGCTTTGGCTGCTTAAACACAACCGACAACTCTTTTCCATGGTTATGTTATTTTCCTTTCTTTGAGCCTTTCCCCCAAATTAGCGGAGATGGCAGACTTGTAAAAGCGTCAGACAGCATTTTTGGTGGATGGGATATGGCAGTTTATAACAAATCACTCTGGAATCCCAGAACTGATAATAGACGTTTTGTTTCTCAGCTGGGCTCCTTGGTTAATTATTTCTGATCTGCTTAATGTGCTTGCCAGTATGGCATCCAGGGGTTGTCTCTGAAGGCTTGGGACATTTATTTTTAACCAAGTTAAACACCTCTGCAATGAATCATTCCATGCCTACTTTGGTGCACCTGTTGAGTGAGAGGCAATGTCTGTTTTTCTTCACTATTGCTGGTGGCTGCAACGAGCAATCAGTTTAAGAATGCTGGACTGCAGAACCTTAATATGTGTTTCATGAGAGGCATCAGAGGGTGACATGGGAAGAGAAGAACATGGAACATAGAACATCATCAGAGTTTCAAGGGACCTTGGAGGTCTTCTAGTCCAACCCCCTGCTCAAGCAGGAAACCCTATACCACTTCAGACAAATGGTTTGTCCAGTCTCTTAAAAGCCTCCAGTGATGGAGCAACCACCTCTGAAGAGATACCAATGTATTATATAAGTTAAGCAAATGAAGAATACATATGACATTTTGCAGAATGTATTCTGCTTCCACTCAGCATCTGGCAAGAGAGATCTAGAACAGGGTCTTCAAACTTGGCCCTTTTATGACTTGTGGACTTTAACTCCCAAAATTTGTCAGCCACTGTAAAATGAGGACCCAGATTGTTGGAGGCAAGATGCTTAGAGAGAGCTTAAAGCACTGTGAAGCAATATATGTCTAAGTATTCTATTCTATTCTATAGAATAGAATAGAATAGAAGTAGAGTACAGTAGAGTACAGTAGAATAGAGTAGAATAGAGCTGGAAGGGACCTTGGAGGTCTTCTAGTCCAGCCCCCTGCTCAAGCAGGAGAACCAATACCACCTCAGACAAGTGACTGTCCATCGTATACAATGATTATAAAGAAGCAATGGTGAAATATAAAGTTTTAAATAGTTTTAAAAAATACCCATTTGCAGGATAGTCTCTCTGAAAAAACAGGAATAAAGCACGTTGAAAAATATAAGACAAGAATCTACTCATGTAGCAAAGAAGGAATATTAAATAACCTTGATGAATATTTTTCTCAAGAAGGGGAAAACATTTGACGTTTATTTCATTCTGCCCAAAACTTGAAAGTTGTGATCTCTGCGACAAATTTAAAAGTTGGAATCTTAAAACAAGGAAGCTGCCTGGATGGGAACTTCTGAGAGTTGAAGTCATAGGTCTTAAACTTGCCAAGATTGGGCACCTCTGATCTTATGAATTCCTGGCAGCTTGGTTTTCCAACAATAGACACACAGATAAATCAGTGTGAGGTAGTATGGGATGTGTGGTATTTATATGCAATATTTGTGCAGTATTTATATTCAGAAGAATAGAATAGAACAGAACAGAATAGAAATATAGAATAGAATAGAATAGAACAGAACAGAACAGAACAGAATAGAATAGAAGTCTTCTAGTCCAAGGGTCTCCAACCTTGGCAACTTTAAGACTTGTAGCTGAGGAATTCTGGGAATTGAAGTCCACAAGTCTTAAAGTTGTCAAGGTTGGAGACCCCTGTTCTAGTCCAACCCCGTGCTCAAGTGGGAGACCCTATACCAGTGGTTCTCAACCTTTCTAATGCCGCGACCCCATAATACAGTTCCCTATGTTGTGGTGACCCCCAACCACTTATACATCACCGGGTGCCAGGGGCGTGGCCAAAGAAAAGGGGAAAAAAATGGCGGACAGCCTTGTTTGGCGACCCCCATGAAATGGTCGTTTGACCCCAAATGGGGTCCCGACCCACAGGCTGAGAACCACTGCCCTATACCATTTCAGACAAGTGGCTGTCCAATCTCTTCTTTAAAATTTCCATTGTTGGAGCATTCACAACCTCTGGAGGCAAGTCATTCCACTGGTTAATTGTTCTCACTGTTAGGATGTTTTTCCTTAATTCCAGGTTGCTTCTCTCCTTGATTAGTTTCCATCCGTTGCTTCTTGTCCAGCCTTCAGGGGCTTTGGAGAATAGCTTGACTCCCTCTTCTTTGGGGCAGCCCCTCAAATACTGGAAGACCGCTATTGTGTCAACTCTAGTCCTTCTTTTCTCTAGATTAGCCAAACCTAAATCCTATATAAAGAGACTGGACAACAATTTATCTGAAATGGTATAGGGCCGTGGTGGTGAACCTATGGCACGCGTGCCACAGGTGGCACGCAGAGCCCTCTCTGTGGGCACGTGCGCCGTCGCCCCAGTCCTAGGCCTTCAGCTGGATTTTATAAAACCTTTTCACTTTAGGCCTCCGCCGCCATGTGCAAAAAAAAAAAAAGGTTCAATCAATTAATCAATTTCAACTTCTTGCGGGGAAAAAAAGATCTCGCAAAGTTGGAATTGATTGAACTTGGGGAAAAAAAGATCTCGCAAAGTTGGAATTGATTGAACTTTTTAGTCCCACCCAGTCTGCCGTTACCACCGCAGCCACACCCACCCAATGGGCCACACCCACCCAATTGGCCACGCCCACCGGGCACCTGACGATACATAAGTGGTTTATGGGTTGCAGTTTGGGCACTTGGTCTCTAAAAGGTTTGCCACCACTGGTGTAGGGTTTCCTACCTGAGCAGGGGGTTGGACTAGAAGACCTCTAAGGTCCCTTCCAACTCTGTTATTCTATTCTATCTTCTATTCTATTCTATATATCGATCTCAGACCTTGGAAATCTTGGTTTCAGCAGAATGTGAAGCAACACTTATGTGCCCCTCTGAATATCTTTTGGAGGATTGAATCCCAAATGCTGGAAAAAACCCCCCCACCTAAGAATCGGTTATGCAGTCGGAAAGCCAGAATCAATTAACAACCATGTTACTAACTTAACTACTGCAGTGATTCGCTTAACAGCTGTGGCAAGAAAGGTCGTAAAATGGGGGAAACGCATTTAACAACTTTCTTGCTTAGAAACTTTGGGCTCAATTGTGGTCGTAAGTCGAGACGTATTGCCAGCAACCTGTGAGTTCTCATTCTGCTTTAGACATAAAACCCATCTGGGTGACTTTGGTCTAATCATCAGGAGACTGAGTTCTAGTCCCGCCTTAGGCATGAAAGTCGGGTGGTTGATTTTGAGCCAATCACAGGGGACAGTAAGTTCTAGTTGCCTCCATAGGCATGAAAGCTGGCTGGGTGACTTGGCGCTGGTCCCCGTCTCTCAGCCCAATCCAGCTCACAGGAGGAAGAAGTATTATGTGTGTTCGTTGCCTTGAGTTGCTCATAAAAGTCATAAACGTGGGTTATAAATAAATAACAAATAACACAAATGCACTCCTACATTTTTCCTAATTGACTGGACAGCCATTTGTCTGAAATGGTGTAGGGCAGTGGTTCTCAACCTGTGGGTCAGGACCCCATTTGGGGTCGAACGACCATTTCATGGGGGTCGCCAAACAATGCAGTCCACCATTTTTTTCCCCCTTTTCCTTAGCTGTGCTACTCCCTTTTATTCTATTGGCTTTTGAAAGCCAATATAATAGACTCTCTTGAATAGAGTCTAATTCTATTGGCTTTTGAAAGCCAGTAGGAATTATCCAGGCTGTCTCTGCCCTGCTGAGCCTGCCAAAAGTCCCATTCTGCAAACGGTGCTGCACCAGTTGAGTAGTCCTCGACTTACGACCGGTTGAGTAGTCCTTGACTTAACGACCGGTTGGGGGTCACGGCATTAAAAAGGTTGAGAACCACTGGTGTAGGGTCTCCTGCCTGAGCAGGGGGTTGGACTAGACGACCTCCAAGGTCCCTTCCAACTTGATCATTATATTATATTATATATATATAGTATTATAATTTAACTTTAAAATTGCCATGATTTCTTCTATGTGATTGCATTTTCACAGGGGTCCGCTACAGCCATCCAGGTGGCAATGAAGTCACTTCTTCAGCTTCCATCAGCCATCATGGTAACAACTCAATGGTCACCACCAGCCAGTCCATTCTCCAGCCAGTATCTCCAGCCAGTTTGGACCCAGGTCACAGCCACAGCCTGCTGTCCCCGGACGGTAAAATGGTGAGCACACCTGGGCTATTGTACCTCCGGTGCTGATAAGATAAGTTGGCTTAGGAGGCAAAAAACAAACAAAACTTTCTTTTTTTCCCCCTATATGTTAAAACTCTCCTCCCCCCCCCCCCTCAAGACCAGCATTAAACAATGAAAGGCTTGTAGGCATGAGGAGGGTAAAGGCCTGAGTGCTGTCAGAGAAAATAGCCTTCTGACCTTCCCGTTCCCTGCTTAGGCATTGAAACATGCCAATAAAAACTGTTCTCAGGGTATTGATCGAATGCCTCTTGAATTGGCACAAGAGGGTGGATCACTGTTTACTCTTCACTGCTGATGACATTCCCCATGATTAAAAAAAAAAAAAAACAGCCCAACAAAAACTTGATTAAGTCATCCCAGATTCCACTTCGCTCTTCAAATTTTATGATTTTATTTAGCAAGCTTCAACCATCCTTTTTTCCTCCCTTTAGTTCTACAAATATAGACGTCAAATGGGGGGAAGGATACGGTGATAAAAAAAAATACTGTTATTAGGATAGTGCGGTTGATAACTTAGCATTTGCTGTAATATTGGGCTGAGTTCTTCTGTTCGAGCCGTATAATATTCTACCATAATAGAAAAATTAATTTCATTCAATTTTGGGCTATAAGACACCCCAGCTTGGTACCTGATTTATAATAACAAATTTACCAGGGTTGTCCTGAAGAACGGCATAAACAGGAAATAAAAAGAGAAAAAATATCTTTGGCTTTAGTTTAGTTATTATTTAGTTACTATTTAGTTATTGAGCAGATGAAAGTATAAATTGTTTTCTTCTGTGGGGTCCTTGTTGCTGTTTGAGCTTGGTGATTTTCTTGTAGACATTTTATTACTAAACTAGATAATATCAGCACTGATGATTTCACCCCACACCTCTGTGATACAATAATAATAATAATAATAATAATAATAATTAGAAAGACTGTGGCAAAAGCAAGCAAGGGTAGTACCAATAGTGATAGGCTCCTTGGGTGCAATCCCAAAACAACTGGAGCACCACTTGAACACCATTGGCATTGACAAATTCGCTATTAGTCAATTGCAAAAGGCAGCCTTATTAGGAACTGCTTCCATCCTGCGACGATATCTGTACTACCATCAAACATCCACATCTGCCTATCCCAGGTCCTGGGTAAGGACTCGATAGGTAGACAAAATGCCAAATCCAGTCTGAACATCTGGCTGACTGTGCGATGATCGATAATAATAATAATAATAATAATAGAGGCATGGGAAGACAAAGCACTATATAGCCAATACATTAAAAAAATATCTGGGAAAGCAGATAATAACAAGACCTGGCAATGGCTAAGAGCAGGAAAATTGAAGAAAGAGACCGAGGGACTAATTCTGGCTGCAGAAGACCAAGCCTTAAGGACAAATGCATACAAAGTCAAAATTGAGAAGACAGCAACAGACAGTAAGTGCCGCCTATGCAAAGAAGCTGAAGAAACAGTGGACCACTTGGTAAGCTGTTGCAATAAGATTGCACAGACTGATTACAAGCAGCGGCATGACAAAGTAGCAACTATGGTGCATTGGAAGATCTGCAAAAAATATCATTTGCCTGTAAGCAAAAACTGGTGGGATCATAAAATAGAGAAAGTCATAGAAAATGATAAAATTAAACTGCTCTGGGACTTCAGAATTCAAACAGACAAGCACCTGCAACACAACACCCCAGACTTAACAATTGTCGATAAGAAAGACAAAAAAGTCTGGATAGTGGACGTAGCAGTGCCTGGAGACAGCAGAATAGACGAGAAAGAACTGGAGAAGATAACAAAATACACATTTGCCTATCCCAGGTCCTGGGTAAGGACTCGATAGGTAGACAAAATGCCAAATCCAGTCTGAACATCTGGCTGACTGTGCGATGATCAATAATAATAATAATAATAATAATAGTAATAATAGTAATAATAATAATAAAGTTGGAAGGGACCTTGAAGGTCATCTAGTCCAATCCCCTGCTCAGGCAGGAAACCCTATACCATTTCGGAAAAATGGCTGTCCAGTCTCTTCTTAAAAACTTCCAGTGTTGGCGCATTTACCACTTCTGGAGGCAGGTTGTTCCATTGGTTAATTGTTCAAACTGTCAGGAAGTTTCTCCTCAGTTCTAGGTTGCTTCTCTCCTTGATTAGTTTCCATCCGTTGCTTCTTGTAAAAAGGATTTAAAAAGAAACAAAACCAAGCACAAAAGGATTCCAGAGCTTACGTGTCAATTTCTCCCTCTTAATAATCCCAGCGTGAATAGGTGTTTCTGCTTTTCCTGTTTGTATTTGAATTGCAAGGGTCTCTCCTACAATCTCTGTTCCCTGATTTAATTGGAGGAAAATGGCACATGCATTTTTTACTTAGGATCACAAACCAGCTGTGAAAGTGCACAGCGCTTTACGCCATTGTCCTGGGCACGCTCATCTCGGAGTAAACTTACTTCGACTTTCTCCTAAGCCGGGGGTCTTCAAACTTGGGCCTTTTATGACTTGTGGACTTCAACTCCCAGAATTCCTCAGGCAAGCACACTGGCTGAATAATTCTGGGAGTTGAAGTCCACAGATCATAAAAAAGGGCCACGTTTGAAGACCCCTGTCCTAAGCAAATAGGGTTTGGTTTGTACTATCGGGATAGCAAAAAACAAGTTATCATTTAAAATGCATTCCTAATACAATAGCAGGTAAAAATGTAAATAGACCAGAGTTTGACCTATGAATTATTCCAGGGTTTAATTCCTAGACCTAGCATGACTCAGGGGCCATTATTCCAGAGAATGCCATAATGGACCCGTGAAGTCTTTTACCACAGGGTTTAAATTCTTTCCCAATCAGGTGATTTCCCCTCCCATACCGTATAAATTCATTTTTTTCTAATTGTTTTTCCAAGATGAGCGGGAGCCTAATGCTGGCTTTTTTGCAAATATTTTTTTAACTTATTATACATGCATGCCTGGCTTAGCTTAAACTGAGGAATGTCTCCTTCCTTGGGGGAAGAGGAGAAGGAACAATGTTCTGTGCGGAAGAACATTTTAATTCTCTTTACATTTTATGGGCAGTTAACGGCGTGAAATATGAATGTCTGATCAGAGTAACAGAGTTGGAAGGAAGACTTGGAGGTCAGCTAGTCCACCCCCCTGCTCAGGCAGGAAACCCTATACCATTTCAGACAAATGGCTGTCCAGTCTCTTCTTAAAAACCTCCAGTGTTGGAGTACTCACAACTTCTGGAGGCAGGTTGTTCCACTGGTTAATTGTTCTCTCAGGAAATTCCTCCTTAGTTCTAGGTTGCTTCTCTCCTTGATCAGTTTCCATCCGTTGCTTTTTGTCCTGCCTTCAGGTGCTTCGGAGAATAGCTTGACTGCCTCTTCTTTATGGCAACCCCTGAGATACTGGAACACTACTATCATGTCCCTCCTTGTCCTTCTCTTCATAAAACTAGACATTCCCAATTCCATGATCCCAGGTCAGGAGTTTGGTTCCTAGGAAGCAAAGACAGCTCTACAGTAGGTGTAGTGAAAAAACCAACTCCCTTTGTAAATTGTGGAGATCATATTGACAGTCCTTTGGTTGTTCGGCTATTCTTCTTGGAGAGCAATAAATCTCTAATAATCCAGCATTAATTGAAGAGCTTACTTCGGTCAATAATCTTTGTGCCCATGAACAAGCAGCGCCATCTTGTCTATTGCCGTTGGCAGCAAATGTCTTGGATCAGTGTTGCTTAGAGGTTTTTGTGAGGTTGATATGAATGTAGATTACCCGGTGTAAGTAGTCCTCGGCTTACAACCATTTGCTTAATTGCCGTTCAGAGTTACAACCGCACTGAAAAACATGACTTATGACCATTTTTCACACTTATGAACATCCCCACAGTCAGGGGATCAAAATTTGGACGCTTGGCAATTGGTTCATATTTATGACAGTGGCAGTGTCCAAAGGTCATGTGATCTCCTTTTGAGACCTTCTGACATGCAAAGTCAATGGAGAAGCCAGATCCACTTAACAACCGTGTTACTAATTTATCAACTGTAGTGACTGACTTAACTGTGGCAAGAAAGGTTGTAAAAATGGGGCAAAACTCACTGAAGAACTGTCTCACTTAGCAACAGGAATGTTGGGCTCAACTGGGATCATAAGTCAAGGGCTACCTGGACTCGATGTTACAGCTATGCCTGCCAGACAGAGGACATGAGGCAAATAGCAGGAGATGTTGCCTTTTTGCCTAGTATTTGGTAACTCTATAAGAGCGATCTTTATGTCCATAGAAGTCTCTTCCGGTCTTCTAACGCAATGTTTCTCAACCTTGACGACTTGAAGACCTGTGGACTTCACCTCCCAGAATTCCCCAGCCAGCTATGCTGAAGTCCAAAGGTCTTCAAGTCGCCACGGTTGAGAAACACTGCTGCAGAGTATTTTGTAGTGTGTTTTGATACAAAGATGAGAACAGGTCACTAGCCCTTAGCCTGAACTATGAAACTGTTCTTTCCACCCAGACTTGGTGGGGGCAGGATAGATCATGGAATTGCCTACAGCGGTGTTTTTCAACCTTGGGGATGTTAAGATGGGTGGACTTCAACCTCCAGTATTCTCCAGTCAGTTCTGCTGGCTAGAGAATTCTGGTTAGTTGAAGTCTAGCTATCTTAAAGTCCCCATGCTTGAGAAACACTGGCCTACAGCCTAACAGAAGAATCTGAGGCAACGAGGTTGGTGGCATCAAGCTTCATGAACCTTTCTAGAAAACAGTTTTCCCACCACTGTTGATCTTCCCATCCGCCAGTTGGCAAGTTGAATGGAGACCCATCCTTGACCGATGCCCTCTGCATGAGCAAAATATGTACTTTCAAAACAAGAAGATGCCACAGTGCCAGATTGCTAGAATTGACAACAAGAACAGTCAATGCTCTGATGGCCTAAAAACCTTTCCTGTGAACACACTTGGCAAAATACAGTCAATTTCAAACATCTATCTCAGGGGTCTTCAAACTTGGCCCTTTTATGACTTGTGGACTTCAACTCCCAGAATTCCTCAGCCAGGCACGCTGGCTGAGGAATTCTGGGAGTTGAAGTCCACAAGTCATAAAGGGCCAAGTTTGAAGACCCCTGATCTATCTCTTCATCTGAAGTCTATCTATGTATATATTTTTAACTCCTTTGTATGACAGGTAGTCCTCGACGTACCAACACCCCTGAACCCAAAATTTCTGTTGCTAAACAAGGCAGTTGTTAAGTGAGTGGGGTCCCATTTTACATTCTTTTTTTGCCACAGTTGTTAAGCGAATCACTGAATTTGTTAAGTAAATCAGGTGGTCATTAAACAAATCTGGCTTCTCCCATTGACTTTGCTTGTCAGAAGCCGGCTGGGAAGGTCACAAATGGAGATCAAATGACCCCAGGACAGCACAACTGTCATAATAAATACATGCCAGTTGCCAAACATCTAAATTTTGATCACATGACCATGGGGATGCTGCAAGGGTCATAAGTGTGAAAACTGGTCATAAATCACTTTTTTCAGAGTCATCGTAATTTCGAACGGTCAGTAAACAAATGGCTATATCAGTGCCGTTGTAACTTTGAACGGTCGCTAAACGACTGGTAGTAGTGCTGTTGTAACTATGAATGGTCACTGTATGAATTGTTGTAGGTCGAGGACTCCCTGTAATGTATCTGTCTCTTCCCTCTTTGTTTGGGCTCTGCCAGCCCTCAGTGGCAGCAGACTCAGAATGTTTTAGCGATTCATCTGGTGGGGTTATTTTTCTTGGCCTAGCTTGACTGATTCATGTCACACTAGATGGTTTTTATGGCCTTCCTTTTTTCTCTCTCCCTGGTTGGGGATGCATAGTTCTTGACTGAGACAGCCTGGTCTTCCATCCAGAAAGTCATTTGTTGACTCTTGAAGTCAGGGTCAGGTGGGCCTCCAGACAGCCAGTTGCCAAGGATTCTTGCCACCCCCTTTAAATGAAATGTGAGGCATACTTTCAAGACAGTCTTTTTTCCTCAAGTGAAACCTCTGTAGGAATTATGAAGCTAAAGGAATTTAGAATCATGCTTAGCAAAATACCTCAGGGATTGGAGAAGGTTATTGTGGGTTTCACTTAAAGCAAAATGCCAGCCATGTTTGGATGGCCTTTTTCATCTACAGCAGGACTCTCCAAATTTAAGACTTGTGGACTTCAACTCCCAGAGTTCCCCAGCCATAATGGCTGGGGAATTCTGGGAGTTGAAGTCCACAAGTCTCAAAGTTGTCAAGTTTGGGGACCCCTGATCTACAGGTAGCCTTTGACGTACCACCAACTTGGGACCAGAATTTCAGCTGCTAAGCAAAACAGTTCTTAATTAATGGGTGCCCAATTTTAGGACCTTTTTTTGCTGTGGTCATTAAGTGAATCACCATGGTCCTTAAGTGAATCTCATGGTTGTTAAATGAAGCTGGCTTCTCCCATTGACTCGTCGTAAATATGAGTCAGTTGCCAAGCATCCGAATTTTGATCATATGACCATGAGGATGCTGCCACGGTCGTAAGTATGAAAAACGGCCATCAGTCACTTTTTTCAGTGCCGTTGTAACTTCGAACAATTACCAAATGAAGTGTTGGAAGTTGAGGACTTCCTGTAAATAGGGCAAAGATGACACTGCACAGTTGTCTGAGGACCACGGGCACACTCCTAAAATTTTGGATGAATAAATTGAATACTTGTTGATTTTAAAAAGTTTGGATCTTGCTACTCTGCGTTAACAAGAGTGGCACAAGATGGATAATATTGCTTTTTTTATTCATTTGTTTATTTATCGTATGGCACTTTCACATCATGTATCAGTAAAAAGGAACACAGGGGTAAAATACAAAACACAGAATATAAAATCTGAAATCCTAACAGGAAGATTACAAGCATATATCTAAGTTACAAATATAATTTTTTAGTTCATTTGTCGCTGCCAGGAAAGCAGCGAAATCATTATAGGCTCTGTTTTGGCACACTGTTACTATGGGTTGATAATATTGCACTGTTAATGGTCCCTTCCTAAATTCTGACTTTTTGTTCTTTCTTCCCTTGACAGATTACAGTTTCTGGCGGTGGGCTCCCCCCGGTCAGTACCCTCACCAACATCCACAGCTTTTCCCATCACACCCCACAACAATCCCAGAATCTCATTATGACACCTTTGTCAGGAGTCATGGCTATCACACAAAGTAAGTGCTTTATGAGTTAGACAAATATCTCCTTGTTCTTAGAATTATTCCTGATTACCTCTTTCCTTGTATTGCATGATCAGGAAGCAAGGAGCTTTACAGAGTCCAAAAGGGCAGGCAGGATCCTGTCTGAGAGACTTTGCAGAATATTTACTATCTCTTCCTTTCTTCTTTTTGCAATTGTCAGTGCCTATTGTAGCATGGCACTGACTTCCATTGGTGCTGACCTCCAATTGCTCAGTAAATATTAAGAGAGAGAGAAATATTGATTTTGGTGCACTGCGAAAAAAGAGGAAAAATGAGATTTAAAAAATGAATCAGTGATGAGATCCAAAGAGGCTTTGTGAAGAAAAAGAAAGAAAGAAAGAAAGAAAGAAAGAAAGAAAGAAAGAAAGAAAGAAAGAAAGAGGAAGGAAAGGAGAGAGGGAGAGAAAAGAAAGAAAAAAAGAAAGAGAAAGAAAGAAAGAAAGAAAGAAAGAAAGAAAGAAAGAAAGAAAGAAAGAAAGAATACTTTTTGTGCCTCAACCTAAAAGGACTTGAGGGTTGATGATCTTTGCAAGGGAAGGGTCAAAAAATTCAAAATGGTGGCCTACGTCTCTGGGATTAAAGCCCTATCCCTTTTTTTTACATTGCAAAAAGTGGCAGAGCTTCTATAATGTCATTCCAATAATAGTAATTTTAAAAGTAGTCCCAAAGGTGCTTTTGGTCTTTCTTTGTTTTTTCCTGAAGATGTTTTGCTTCTCATCCAAGAGGTTTCTTCAGTTCTGACTGAATGGTAGGGAATGGAAGGATTTATTCCCCATCATTCAATCTAAACTGAAGAAGCTTCTTCAAGGAAAAAACAAAGAAAGCCCAGCTGCCTTTTGAAAAGCACTGTTGGGACAATCATGACACGGATGACTGAGAATCTCCATATAGACATTTAAAAGTGGTAGCAACCCCTAACTAACCTTGGTTGATACTGGACGTTAAATGAAGAGGAACCTGATTTCTCAACCTTGACAATTTTAAGGCATGTGGACTTCAACTCCCAGAATTCCACAGCCAGCATTGTTAGATGGTGAAGAATACTAGCCTTATTTTAAACTATGCTTGGAAAAATCAAGCTCTTGCTCCAGATTCTGGAGTTGTGGGGATGTGAGATCCTCTGTCAGGTGCTTTATGGATTTTAATGGACATTTGTTCCACCAAATTAACCCACTCCCTTTTCTGTTTGGTGCTTTTTTACCCTTCTTTTTCTTTTTTGTACAGGTGGTCCTCGACTTACAACCATTTGCTTAGTGACCATTTGAAGTTACCACAGCATTGAAAAAAAATGACTTATGACTGTTTTTCACGCTTACAACCACTGCAGCAACCCTGCAGTCATGTGATCAAAATTCGGGCACTTGGACTGCCATCTGTCAGAAATGGTGTAGGGTCTCCTGCTTGGGTGGGGGGGGGTTGGACTAGATCAGGGGTAGGCAACCCAAAACACTCAAAGAGCCACTTGGACCCGTTTCCCACCAAAAACAAAACACCGGGAGCCGCAAAACCCTTTTGATATCTAAAATGAAGATAACACTGCATATATCCTTTTTTCCTTTATTTTAGGTGTGTGTGTGTGTGTGTGTGTGTGTGTGTGTGTCTGTTTGTGTGTGTGTGTATATGTACATACACACAGAGGTAAAAAAGGATATATGCAGTGTTATCTTCATTTTAGATGTCAAAAGGGTCTCTCTCTGTCTCTCTCTCTCTCTCCCTCCCCCTCTCTCTATCTGCCCTTGGTCTGCCAGTCCTCTTCCCCCACTCTCTTTCTTTCTCTCTATCTCTTTCCTCTCTCTCTCTCTCCCTCCCTCCCTCTCTCTCTCTCTCTTTCTCTCCCCCCCTCTCCCTCTCTCCTATCTGCTACTCACCTGGCAAGCTGGCTTCAAGCTGTTCTCCAACAAGCTCAGAGGTAGGCAACCTCCCTCTTTTATGACTCATGAACTTCAACTCCCAGAATTCCTGAGTCAGCATAGCTGGCCTAGCTAGCTCTCTTCTGCCCTTCCTGCTTCCTGCTTCCTGCAGAGACGCAGTAAAGGGTGGAGCCACGCCCAAAAAGCTTTTGTGCACTCTCTTTCACACACACACACACACACACAGGGAGAGAGAGAGAGAGAGAGAGAGAGAGGCACAATTGCCCCTCTCTCTCTCTCTCTCTCTGCAATGGCAGAGGAGGCTGGGAGCCACAGGGGAAGGCTCCAAGAGCCGCATGCGGCTCTGGAGCCGCAGATTGCCGACCTGTGGACTAGAAGATCTACAAGGGTCCTTCCAACTCTTGTTATTTCTATTCTATTCTATTCCATTCCATTCCACTCCACTCCACTCCATATTTTATTACTCTGTTCTGTTCCATTCCATTCTATTCTATGTTTAAGACAGTTGTGCTGTCCTTGGGTCATGTGATCACCTTTGTAAACTTTTCAGCTGGCTTCTGACAAGCAAAGACAATGGGGGGGGGAGCCAGATTTGCTTAACAGCTACACAATTCACTAAACAGCTGCAGTGTTTTGTTTACTGGGGCAAAAAGAATTTTAAAATTGGCCAAAACTCACTTAACAATTGCCTTGTTTAACGACAGAAATTTTTGGGCTCAATTGTGGTTGAAAGTGGAGAACTACCTGCTCTTCAGTCATTGATGAGTTGGGTGGCCTTAGAAGTAAATAAACCCCTACTATGGTATTACTATCGGTATCAGAAAGGCAGCGTGCATGTCAAGCTTGACTTAAAGGTGTCTCTTCCTTTTATTTTTTAAGTAGAAATAGGGGTGTCCTGCCATTTTTTAGGATAGGTTGTCCTTGGTTAGTGACCACAATTGGGATCAGCAATTCTGTTGCTAAACAACACAGTCATTAACCAAGATGTCATATGACCGGAATGGGCTTATGACCTCCCTTTCACCACAGTTGTTAAGCGAATCCCTCCTGACTGTTAAGCAAAACACAAAATGACTAAGTTGCAACTTCCCCACTGACTTTACCTGTCAGAAGCCGGTTGTGAAGGTCACAAACCACGATCCTATGACCATGGGGTTGTTGCGATGGTTGTAAATGTGAGGACAGTTAATTTTTCAATGCTGTCATAACTTCAAAGAGGACTCTAGGTTAAAACTGTCATACCATGGTTCAAATCCAATGCAGGGGAGATTTTCTTTTAATTATCTTTAGCCAGAAGCAACCCAACATCTTTAACAAAAAGACAAACAAAAAGACAGTCACACTCCAATTAAAAAAAAATCATGCCCTGGAAAATCAGGTTCGAGACCATGGAAAGAGTTGAGAATTTTCATCTTGGAAATTATAGAGAGGTTGTGGGTATTACAGGGGAAATCTGAAGACCTTGGAGCTTTTTAATCAAACGCCTCAGATTATCTCTCTCTCTTTCAGGCCTAAACAGTTCGCAGGCCCAGAGCGTTCCAGTTATCAACAGTGTAGCCCTACAACCGGTCCAGTTTTCCCAACAGCTGCACAGCCCACACCAGCAGTCAATCATGCAACAGTCAACCAATCCAATGGCTCAACAGCCGTTCATGGCGGCGGTGACACAGCTGCAGAATTCACACAGTAAGGATCTTTTGGGGTATTGACTGAGATAGAAGGACAGAAACTGGGAGAAGCAACAGTAACAGAGGCCATAAGTACAGCAAGATATTTGCTCCTGTCTCAATCAGGGTATAAACACAACTGTACAATCCAAACCCCATCTATTTTCCTCATGGACCTGTAGTCCTTTTTCTCATGCACAGGCAGTGTTGGTTTAATTGCTTTTTCAAACATCTATTTATGAGAAAAAGACTGCTTGTAAGTTAAGAGCATTTTGGACCAGCATTTTGCAATATTTAGTTCCTCATAATTTCTCTTTCATCAGGAGAAATTTTTTTTTTTTCATTTAGCAAAGTATTCTTGAGCACTTTAGGTATACTTGATGTCTTAAACTGTAAGTTAAATCCTAGCAGTGGACCAAGAGTATGGGGAGATAAACACGACAGGAAATAGCAATTTTCTTCAACCTAGATTGTATGTCTGAATACAACCAACTATATTCTTTTGAGATGGGGGTGGGAGTTGTAGTCCAAAATATCTGTACAGGAAGGGCTTGATGAAGGCTAGATCAGAGTAGTGCACTTAAACCAAGGGGACTCAGATTCCAGAGAAGAGCACCAAAGATGATTAGGGGACGGAGCTAAAGCAAATAAGGAACGGTTGCTGGAATTGGGTATGTCTAGTTTAATGAAGAGAAGGACGAGGGGGGACATGATAGCAGCATTCCAGTGTCTCAGGGGCTGCCACAAAGAAGAGGGAGTCAAGATATTCTCCAAAGCGCCTGAAGGCAGGACAAGAAGCAACGGGTGGAAACTAATCAAGGAGAGAAGCAACTTAGAACTAAGGAGAAACTTCCTGACAGTTAGAACAATTAACCAATGGAACAACCTGCCTCCAGAAGCGGTGAATGCGCCAACACTGGAAGTTTTTAAGAAGAAACTGGACAGCCATTTGTCTGAAATGGTATAGGGTTTCCTGCCTGAGCAGGGGGTTGGACTAGATGACCTCCAAAAGGTCTCTTCCAACATTATTATTATTATTATTATTATCATTCATCGCACAGTCAGCCAGATGTTCAGACTGGATTTGGCATTTTGTCTACCTATCGAGTCCTTACCCAGGACCTGGGATAGGCAGATGTGGATGTTTGATGGTATTACAGGTATCGTCGCAGGATGGAAGCAGTTCCTAATAAGGCCGCCTTTTGCAATTGACTAATAGCAAATTTGTCAATGCCAATGGTGTTCAAGTGGTGCTCCAGTTGTTTTGGGATTGCGCCCAAGGAGCCTATGACTATTGGTACTACCCTTGCTTGCTTTTGCCACAGTCTTTCTATTTCTATTTGTAGGTCTTTGTATTTTGTTATCTTCTCCAGTTCTTTCTCTTCTATTCTGCTATCTCCAGGCACTGCCGAATAGAAGAATCGGGATTATTATTATTATTATTATTATTATGCCCCTCCCCAAGTTTACAAAAACTGTTTCAGAACAATCACTGTTTCTAAGCCTAACATCAGAGGTCAGTTGCAAAGAAGTGTGGGAATTTCAAGGATGCCAACCTGGATTATTGGAGAGAACCCGAAGTCCTCAGAATCACAGAATAACAGAGTTAACCTGGAGTCTTCTAGTCCAACATCCTGGTCTAGCAGGAAATTCCTATATCATTCCGGACAAATGGCTGTCCAATCACTTCTTAAAAACTTCCAGCATTCACAACTTCTGAAGGCAAGCCATTCCGCTGATTAATTATTCTCACTGTCAGGAAGTTTCTCCTTAGTTCTAGGCTGGTCCTCTCCTTGATTAGTTTCCATCCGTTGCTTTTTGTCCTGCCTTCAGGTGCTTTGGAGAATAGCTTGACTCCCTCTTCTTTGTGGCAACCTCTTAAATATTGAGTGCTAGTCCTTCTTTTAATTAAACTAGAGATATGAAATTCCTGCAACTGTTCTTCAAATGTTTTAGTCTTAATAAAAGTTGTTTTATTCCTGATCTGAGCCTGACTCCTGCTTAGCATGAAGGCCTCTGAGGTTGGACTTAAGATTACAAAGTTATAGAATTGGAAGGGACATTGGAGGTCTTCTAGTCTAGTCCACCCTCTGCCCAGATAGAAATCCCTAGGTGGAAAGGAAGGAAAAATTCCTTTTGTAGGATATTCAGCATGTAATGTATTAGGATGGGATCTCCAAATTTAGCAACTTCATGACTTGTGGACTTCAACTCCCAGAATTCCTCAGCCAGCCATAAATAAGTTGAGGTTTTTAAAAGTTGCTGATTTACCCCTTGAAGGTTCTGGCAATTTGGTTGGAATAAAATATTCAGTGGGAGAGCAATTTATGGCTGTACTCTAAAATTGTTGTCATTCTTTCTGTCCATCTGATTCTCTCTCTCTCTCTCTCTCTCTCTCTCTCTCTCTCTCTGTCACTCACTTTCACACACATACACACTAAACAATGACTGTTGGCCTTCTTCCATAGTGTACGCTCACAAGCAAGAACCTCCTCAGTATTCTCACACATCACGGTTCCCTTCAGCGATGGTGGTCACGGATACCAGCAGCCTCAGTTCATTAACCAACATGTCTTCCAATAAACAGGTAAACAGATTTAATGTTATTGGGGAAAATTAATACAGGTAGTCCTTGACTTATGACCACAGTTGGGATCAGTAATTTCAGTTGCTAAACGAGGTGGTTGTTAAGTTAACTTGTTAACTCAGTCAACTGCCCAATTTTACATCTATCACTGCAGTTATTAAGTGAATTGCATGGTCGTTAAACAAATCTGGCTTCCTCCATTGACTTTACTTGATGGAAGTTGGCTGCGAAGGTCGCAAATGGTGATAACAATTGCCATACGCCCAAATTTTGATCACATGACCATGGGAATGCTGCAATAGGTGCAAGGACTAATTGTAAGAAGAATTTGGGTTGATCTTTTAGAGCAGTGATAGCAAACCTTTTAGAGACCGAGTGCCCAAACTGCAACCCAAACCCCACTTCTTTATCGCAAAGTGCCAGGGGCCCATCAGCATTGAGGTGCCCTCGGGGGGGGGGGCAGGCAAAACCCGGGGGCACAAAAATGGGCCACCGTACTGCAAGGCGCAAAAACGGCCACTGCTCCGCCTCGGGGGTGCAGATACAAGGCGCTGCACCAAACAAGAATGGGGCAGGGCTAGTGAGTATCATGCAGGCACTAGCCCCGCCTCATTTGCAGCACAGGCATACTTGCGGCCCCGTGCGTGCACACACACGTAAAATACTTCCCCCTCCCTTTTCTTCCAGTCCGCCAATCGACAATGGTTGGTGGCCTCTGCTCTATCACCTCTACTCGAGCTTGCTAGCCAGCCGTTTCACCTCCTTTGTGCTGGGCAGGGGTTCCTGCTCCGGGCGGTGATGGCGGCCTGATGGACCTGCTGCTGGCGGCGGCACGCGTGCCAACAGAGAGGGCTCTGAGTGCCGCCTCTGGCACGCATGCCACAGGTTTGCCACCACTGTTTTAGAGAGTCGTTGAGGCCACTTGGAGGCTTCTCTGTGTCCTGAGCATCACCTGAGTAATGCAAATAGATGTGGAGCCTTTTTGGAACTGCTGAAAGGACTGTGTCTACAACCCTGAGGACACAGATAAACCTCCAAGTGGCCTCAATGACTCTCTAAAACAGGGGTCCCCAACCCCTGGTTTGTGAACCGGCACCGGGCCGTGGCATGCCAGAAACCGGGCTGCGTAAACAAGCAAAGCCCCGCCCATGGGATGCAGGCAGCACACAAAACCACACCCCCTCCGGTACACGGAAAAACCTCTCTCCACGGAACCGGTCCCTGGTGCCCAAAAGGTTGGGGACCCCTGCTCTAAAAGCATGCAAATGACCAGCTGTCTGCAAGGAGTAAAAGTCCTTCCAGTCCCTACCATCCAGTCAGAGCTGAAGAAGCTTCTGGGATGAGAAGCGAAACATCTTCAAAGGAAAACAAGAAAGTCCAGTCACCTCCTGAAAAAGCAGCTTTGGGACATCCTGGTTTTTACACTTCTTGATATTGTAGCACTTTAGCATCTCTATGAAAAATAAACCCGAGAGTCCTTTTGTGTAAACCTGTCCGCTCTTGTTTTTTTTTGTGATGAAAAATCGTTCCAGAGCAGACAAAAAAAGCCTCTTTTCTTCCTTTCTTTCATTTTTTTCAAAGGCAGCTTTGCAGACTGTGGGAAATATGTGGCCTCTATCGATCGTTAGATAGTTAGAAGAGAAAACCTTGAACTTCTCAACAGATAAGTTGGCATGTGGGGTTCCCCCCCCCTTTGAGAGACTTGTGCCAAATAACATAATAATGGGGTGTGTTCACCAATGTTTGGAATGCACTTTTGAATTCTGATACAGGTAGTCCTCAACTTACGACCACAGTTGAGCCCAACCTTTCTGTTGTTCAGTGAGTTTTGTGACCTTTCTTGCCATAGTTGTCAAGCGAAACACTGCAGTTGTTAAGTTATGGTAATAACATGGTTGTAAAGCGAACCTGGTTTTCCAATTGATGTTGATTCCGGGACACTGCAACCGTCATAAGTACATGCCAGTTGCCAAGCATCCCAATTTCGATCACATGACCCTGAGGATGCCGCAATGGTCATAAGTGTGAAAAGTAGTCCTAAGTCACTTTTTTCAGTGCTTGTAACTTTGGACAGTCACTAAACGAATGGTTGTAAGTTGAGGACTATCTGTACAAGTCCAGTACTGCCAGACATGGGTTAAAAATTCAGGAATCCAGTGAGGAGGCCTTTGTGAACCTCTCAAACTAGGTTCTGCACAAGTGACAGAGGCTTCAGATCAATATTTTCTTAAGTCATTGTATCCATGGACAATATACAGGTAGTCCTCAATTTACAACCGTTACATTTAGTGACCATTCAAAGCTACAATGGCACTGAAAAAACTGACTTTCAACCGGTCCTCCTACATATGACGATTGCAGCTTCCTCACAGTCAGATGATCAAAATTTGGGTACTTGGCAAGCAGTGTGAATTTACAACAGTTGCAGCATCATGGGTCATATGAGCACCATTTGCAACCTTTCCAGCCAGCTTCCAACAAGCAAAATCAATGGGGGTAGTGACCTGCTTTATGACCGACACAACTTAGGAATTTAACTGCCAGACTCAATTATAGCCATAAATTAAGGACTACAGGTAGTCCTAGACTTACAGCAGTTTGCTTAGTGACTGTTCAAAGTTACAACGACACAGAAGAAAGTGAATGAGGACCATTTTTCTCACTTAACGACCGTTACAGCTTTCCCACGGTCACGTGATTTACATTTGGATGCTTGCCAATTGACTCATATTTTGGGCTCAATTGTGGTCGTAAGTTGAGGTTTACCCGTACATATATACCGTATTACCCAGGATAGGAAAAATCCATATTTCTGAAAAAACTCTCAGAAGCTTTGGCCACAGTGGTGTAACTGAACCTCTGCTCGTTTTTTTTTTTAATTCAGTTATATATATATATAAAGCTTGCCCTGCCAGTCTTGATTGGATTATGGTTTCTTCCTTGCTGAAAGAAGCAACACACATTAACAATAGAAAAAAAGACCAGAGGTTCAGTTACACCAGTGTGACCAATGCTCCTGAGAATTATTTTTTTTTCAGAAACTTGGATTTTCTCTACCCTGGGTATCCTGTCTCCTCCAATGCTCGGGAGAAATGTGACTTGAGTAGTAAAATTGAACATATTCTGTATGTTAAAAAGCCAAAACTTCTTCCCAAGGTTCGTTATTCCCACTGGGGTTTTGGACATCAATATGGATCTGGATAGAAGTGAACATTTGTAGTTCAAGGTTGAACTATGGCAGGGGTTCCCAACCTCTGGGCTGTGGCTCATTACCAGACTGCAGTCTATTTGCAACCGGGCTACGCAAGTGGCAGGACAGTGCGCATGCACACACACAGCTGGACTAGCATGAATGGCGGGCTGGCATGCACTCCTGTGCTCACAATTTGCCCACTGCACCTCACACGACTGGGGGGGAGAGGGCCGCGTGAGTGGTGGGCCGGCGTACACGTAGCTTCACTAGCCGAGCTGCGTGTGCATGTGCGTGGATGCTGGTTTGCCAGTCACATGAGTCAAGCTGAGTGCACGCACGGGCTCACCGCTCATATAGCCTGGTTCCCCTCTCCCCCCCACAGCCGGGCCATCAAGCCACAAAGGTTGGGGACCACTGAACAATGGGGTCACTTAGCCCTGATTGTGTTACCTAGTTGGGTAATGAAACGTCTGCAAGAAAACCACCAAGCTCAGAAAGCACCAAGGACTCCACAGAATATGGATATGGATATGAAGAGAGAGAGAAAAATAACATTTGGATTAGTGATTTTAGGCACCAGTTTAGAATCTGAAAGACCCTGAGTTCTAGTCCTGCCTTAGGCACCAAGCCAGCTGGGTGACTTTGAGCCAGTCCAACTCTCTCAGCCCTAGGAAACAAGCAATGGCAAACCGCTTCTGAAAAACCTTGCCAAGCAAATCGCAGGAACTCATCCAGGCAGTCGTCAGGACTCAACGCTGACTCATAGACCCCATAATGTAGATTCTGGGTGGCTTAGTAGTATATCCAGTAAATACAATATCCAATATTTTCACCCAATGGATGGAGCACTAGAAACCTCTAACCTGCCTATCTCCACCAGTCAGGCAGTCACGCGCATCGAGGCTCCAGGAGTTGCTCATTTCCTTAGAAGGCCCTGCTGATTCATCTAGCATGCATTCAACCCTAACTTTGCCCTTGATAGATGATTCTTTCTGTACCACCCGTTAACTTTGATGGTGGCTTGTTGAAACAAGCCTGCCTCTATTCAGGAAGCATTTTCCTTCATCAAAACTTAGCAAGACGCGACTTGCTGCGCTTTGCTGGGGATCCTGAGTAGCAGGGAAGAAAATTCAGCTTTAAAACAGGTCATTATCTTGATGGCGGTCAACATTTGGGCATTTCGGCTTTGATGTTCACCAGATAGGCTTTCCGTCAGCCCAGAGCTAAATCTCTGCACGCAGGTTTACAAGCTTAAAAAAAAAAAATGCAATAGCACAACATGGAACCGAAAGATGAAGAGGGGAAAAGAAACAAATTCTTGCCTTACAAATAGTCCTTGGCTTACAACCATTCATTTTGTGACTGTTCAAAGTTACAAAAGCTCTGAAAAAAGTGACCGATGACCGTTTTTCACACTCTTGATCATTGCAGCATCCCTGTGGTCATTTATTTATTTATTTATTTATTTATTTATGAGACTTATATACCGCTTTAAGTGCAAGCACTCTCTAAGCGGTGTACACCAGTAAGCAATGTATATATATATTTACATTGCCCCAACAATCTGGGTCCTCATTTTACCTACCCCGGAAGGATGGAAGGCTGAGTCAACCTTGAGCCGGTGAGATTTGAACCGCTGACCTGCTGAACACAGTCAGCTAAAGTGGCCTGCAGTACTGCACTCTAACTGCTGCGCCACCTCGGCTCAGTCATGTGATCAAAATTCAGGCGCTCGGCAACTGACTCATATTTATGACGGTTGCCGTGTCCCGGGATCCTGTGATCACCTTTTGTGAGCTTCCGACAAGCAAGGTCAACGGTGCGGAAGCCAGATTCATTTAATAAACATGATGCTAACTTAACCACTGCAGTGATTCACTTAACAACTGTGGAAGAAAGGTCATAAAATGGGCAAAATTCACTTAATAAATGTCTCAAATTGGGGGCTCAATTATGGTTGTAAATCGAGGACTAATCTGTACAAGGGTTGCAGTATCCCAGGGTCATGTGATCGCATTTACAACATCTGTGGAGATTCTCAGTCACTTGTTAAGTGAACTAACTGGACTTTGGTTTTTTTTTCCTCTTTGAAGACGTTTCACTTCTCATCTGAGAGGCTTCTTCAGCTTCTTCCCATCATCCAGACGAAGCTGAAGAAGCTTCTTGGATGAGAAGCGAAATGTCTTCAAACAGAGAAAAGAAAATCCAGTTACCTTATGAAAAAGCGCCTTTGGGATCACCATTTATAACCTTCCCAGCCAGCTTCCGATAAGCAAAGTCAATGGGGGGAAGCCTGATTCACTTAACCAACGCACGAGTCACTTAACAAATGCGGTGATTTGCTTAACAGCTATGGCAAAAAAAAAAAAGTCATAAAAGGGGGCAAAGTTCATTTAACAACTGTCTTGCTTAGCAACAGAATGTTTGGGTTCAATTGTGGTCGTACGTCAAGGACAACCTGTATTACGTTAGATCTTATATTTCACTGTTGTCTTTCCTGCCTCAAAATGAAGGGAACATAGTCAATTCAGAGAATGTTTGATGAATTACAAGCACCCCCAAGGCCTTAGTCTGTCCATCCTCAAATCAGTCAGAATTAATCAGAATAGAGCTGGAAGGGATCTTGGAGGTCTTATAGTCCAGCCCCCTTCTCAAGCGGGAGACCCTATACCTTTTCAGGCAAATGACTGTCCAATCTCTTCTTAAAAACCTCCAGTGATGAAGCACCCACAACTTCTGGGGGCATGCTGTTCCACTGGTTAATTGTCCTCACTGTTAGAAAGTTTCTCCTTAATTCCAGGTTGCTTCTCTCCTTGATTAGTTTGATTAGATTCTCTCCAGATCTAAGACACTTCCTCATATTCTAATCTCTGTAACCTTCTTTCTTTTTTTCCAGTGTCCGTTACAAGCCTGGTGATACTCTATCCAGTTCCCTGTGCCTTTAGCAACTTGGAAATTATTTTTCCACAACGTCCTGCCTGACCAGAATGAGATCGTGAGGCTGCTGCAGCAAAGCCCGAGTAGCTTGCTGAGCCTGATCCCAAACAGATCCTGCTCAGCCTGGAAAGAAGATTAGAAGTTTCCAAAGACAGCAGCAGCTGCGACTTCCTTCAAGGGGGTCCCAGAAAGGTGTCCGTCACACCAAGCCTTTTCCCGTAGTGTTTTCCAAGACTTTTTTGCCTCAAGGAATGCCAAAGTATGTTCCTCCTGGAAAATATTCGTTTCCAACCCACAACACCAGAACAAAACGGATGCTTGAACGAGAAGCTTGGAAAGAACCTCGAAAGCTGGAGATCAATCGTATTTATGAAGTTACATGCTTCTCCCGAAGAGGACCAGAGAGAGGACTTGGGGCTGTTACGTCAGGTTGCGAAGGGGGAACCACCCGTGCTGATGAACTGAATCAACTGAAGTGTATATAGAGGAGCTCCATATTCCGGCTCTCCCTTGCCCTCCCCCAGACCTCTCCGCAGAGATTTATATTAAAGAAAAGTGAATGTTGTCTATCTAATGGATGTATTAAGAAATTAAGTGCAATGCCTCTCCCCTCCCTCCCCCCACCTGTACATAGGATCACAAAGTCTCCTATTATGTCTCTCTCTTCATTTTTTGTAAGGACAGGGTTTAAGTTGCAACGTTTTGGATTGGCGAATCAGAAGAATGAAAGAAAACAAAACCTTTTGGCCAAGCAACATTGATTTATCGGCATTTTGTAAATTCGGCCCATCGGTCAGTGCCTTTTGGGGGGGGGGGAAGTTTTGGGCTGGCTGATTTCAAAAAAAGGGCAGGAAGCAGAATTTGGATGTTTGGAAAGAAGGCATAAGTATTTAATGGCTGCACACTTAACCTAGTTACAGAATTGTAACCCGTTTTTGAAGTGTGCATAACATAAGCTAGGCAAGTGGATGCAGGTAGTCCTCAACGTATGACCACAATTGGAACCAGAGTTTCTGTTGCCAAGCAAGTCAGTTGTTAAGTGAATCACAGCCAATTTTACAACCTCTTTTGCTACGTGAATCACTGTAGTTATTAAGAAAATTGCGTGTTAAGCAAGTCGGGCTTCTCCCATTCTTGTCCCAAGCTGGCTGGGAAGGCCACAAACAAACCCCAGCTTAACATACAGGTGGTCCTTGACTTACGACCACAATTGAGCCCAACATTTATGTTGCTAAGAGAGACATTTGTTAAGTGAATTTTGCCCCATTTTATGACCTTTGCTGCCACAGTTGTTAAGTGAATCTCCGCAATAGCTAAGTAAATCTGGTTTCCCCATTGACTTTGCTTGTCAGAAGGTCACAAAAATTGATGACATGACCCTGGGACATGTAAAACCGTCATAAATATGAATCAGTTGCCAAACATCTGAATTTTGATTATGTGACCGTTGGAATGCTACAATGGGTATAAATGTGAAAACAGTCACAGGTCACTTTTTCCAGGGGCTTTGTAACTCCAGGCCAGTGGTTCTCAACCTTTTTAATGCCGCGACCCCAACTGGTCGTAAGTCAAGGACTACTCAACTGGTCGTAAGTCGAGGACTACTCAACTGGTGCAGCACCGTTTGCAGAATGGGACTTTTGGCGGGCTCAGCAGGGCAGAGACAGCCTGGACAATTGCTATTGGCTTTTGAAAGCCAATAGAATTAGACTCTATTCAAGAGAGTCTGTTCTATTGGCTTTCAAAAGCCAATAGAATAAAAGGGAGTAGCACAGCTAAGGAAAAGGGGAAAAAAATGGCGGACTGCGTTGTTTGGCGACCCCTGTGAAATGGTGGTTCGACCCCAAATGGGGTCCCGACCCACAGGTTGAGAACCACTGCTCCAGGCCATCACTAAACAAATAGTTGTAAGACTACCTGTATTTGCCTTAATGTATCTACCTGTCTTTATTGAAATGTATTGTCTAAACACAAGTAATGAATTGGTTCACACTTTGCACTAAACCATGGTTTGCTTATCCATTGTTTATTGAATAATCTGTTGATTGTGGCTTTATACAATGTACTAACTACGCCACAAGCCATGTTTCCAAACTTTACACAATAAGCTAAGATCCAAGCCAACATGTTATGGCTTAGTGTGTTGTGTTAACCAGCTCCTAAAAGATATCAGTCCCTATTTCAGCCATAATTGCTGATGTTTTCTAACTATGCTTAATTAATTAATTAATTAGATTAATTAGAACAATTAATCAGTGGAACAACTTGCCTCCAGAAGTTGTGAATGCTCCAACACTGGAAGTTTTTAAGAAGAGATTGGACAACTATTTGTCTGAAATGGTGTAGGTTTCCTGCCTAAGCAGGGGGTTGGACTAGAAGACCTCCAAGGTCCCTTCCAACTCTGTTATTCTATTCTATTCTATTCTATTCTATTCTATTCTATTCTATACACACGTGAAAAAGACTCTCATATGATCCTTCCTGTGATGGGATAGAAAACTCAGCTTTGAGTAGTCTATGTAAACACAATCCTGTTTTATCAAAAAAAAAAAAAAAAATCCCAAACAAACCCAGACCCAAATCCTGGTTGACAGATTTGGGTCCCTGTTGCTCAAAACTCCAAGATAATTTGGCCTGATCCTTGACCTTCCAATTTGTTCACACAAGGCATTTTACATGTGTTCAACCTTCTGTCTTCTCACTGATGCAAGGAATAGGTTAGATCAGAGTTTTGCAACCTCGGCAATTTTAAGATGGGTGGACGTCAACTCCTAGAATTCCCCAGTCATGGGAATTGAAGTCCACCCATCTTAAAGTTGCTGAGGTTGAGAAACACTGGGTTAGATGGTAATTTTAGGCACTTACTTTATTTCCAGCTTAGTTACTGTATTCTTCTTCCACCTATGGAGAGAAATATAAATTGGTATGGTTTTGCTCTCCCCGTGGTCTCTGTTCTGGCTTACAGCTGGAGGATCGTGTCTTCATATCCAGGAAGGACATTTGCTCAATGCCACCAGCGCTGCTGTAATCAGCAATATTTTGACAGATGAGCACACCCACAGATTTATCTATCAGTCAGAAACTGCACTCCGTTTATACACTGCCTCTCCCAACCTAGAACTCAGCTCTCTAGGCTTGGAAAGGAGACCTTGTACCCATCAGGTCTCCAAGCCAATTTCTAGAGACCCCAAACAACTGATAGAACAAACCACAACTGATAGGAAGGAGGGAGATAGTTGAGTTATGAAGACTACCGTATATTCCGGCGTATAGGGTGACCCGGCGTATAAGACGACCCCCTAGTTCGATGCCGGATCGCAAGATGATCGACGCCGAGTTGCAAGACGATCGACGTCAAGTCGCCTGCCTAGAAAGTCGTCTTATACGCCGGAAACTACCGGTATTTCCTGCGTATAAGATCGACACCGAGTTGCATGCCTAGAAAGTTGTCTTATAGGCTGGAAACTACGTTATTTCCGGCGTATAAGACGATTGACGCAGAGTCGCATGCCTAGAAAGTCGTCTTATACGCCAGAAACTACCTTATTTCCAGCGTATAAGACGACTCGGCGTATAAGACGACCCCCGAGTTCGGAGGCTGTTTCGACGCTCTCAAAAGTCGTCTTATACGCCGGAATATACGGTATATGAAGAACGGTTGCAGGAGTTGGGTATGTCCAGTCTAGTGAAAAGAAGGACTAGGGGTGCTATGATGGCAGTCTTCCAATACTTGAGGGGCTGCCACAAAGAAGAGGGGGTCAAGTTGTTCTCCAAAGCACCTGAAGGCAGGACAAGAAACAATGGATGGAAACTAATCAAAGAGAGAAGCAACCTAGAACTAAGTTGTTCAATTAGTAACACAGTTGTTAAGTGAATCTGGCTTTCCCATTGATTTTGCTTGTCCGAAAGTCATAAAAGGGGATCACATGATCCGGAGACACTGCAATCGTCATAAATCTGAGTCAGTTGCCAAGCATCTCAATTTTGATCACGTGACCATGCGGATGCTGAAGTGGTTGTAAGTGTGAAAAATGGGGCATAAGTCACTTTTTTGGTGCTGTTGTAACTTTGAATGGTCACTAAACAAACTGTTGTAAGTCGAGGACCACCTGTAGTCCAGGGATCCCCAACTGTGGGCTGCAGCCCACTACTAGTCCATGGCCGATTTGCAACCAGGTCTCGTGGGTGGCTGGCAGGTGTGTGAACATGCTTGCACAGTTCCACTCACACAAGCATTGGGTGTGCTTGGGACCCCTCTCACACGAGTATCACAGCCACTCATGGGCCCCCTCCAGAAATGTCACAGGTGCTCACGGCCCACTCGTGTGAGCCCTTGGGGCCTCATGCAACCATCATGGGTGCTCCCGGCCTCACTTGCATGAGCACGTGCGCATGCACATGCACACACACACCCCTCCCACAAATCTTTCCCTCTTTCCCCCTCCCCCCTCTGGGCTGCCAACCCAAAAAGGTTGGTGAACTCTGCTGTAGTCCAGGGGTCCCCAACCCCCGGTCTGTGAACCAGTACGGGGCTGCGACATGCCAGCAACCGGTCCACACAAACAAGCAAAGCCCCATCCACGAGATCTAGGCAGCACACAAAACCACGCACTCTCGGGTCTGTTGAAAAACATCTCTCCACAGAATCGGTCCCTGGTGCCCAAAAGGTTGGGGACCTCTGCTGTAGTCCCAGTGGTGGAATTCAGTCGGATCGCACCACTTTGGCAAAACCGGTAGCTAAATTTTTTTTTGTCCAGGCCCAGAATGGTCTTCTGGAAGCAGCATCCACACAGAGTATCGGTTGTTCACGTATTTGAATCCCACCACTGTGTAGTCCATATGTATTTTGTTGATTTATGTAAGCCTTTGGGGTTTTTTTTTCTTCTCCCAAGGAAGATGAGAAGCATTTAAAGAGTCAATTATTTGACCTAGCCCAGGGGTAGGCAACCTTGGCTCTTTATGACTCGTGGACTTCAACTCCCAGAATTCCTGAGCCAGCATGGCTCAGCATGGAAACCTCTCCCTTTCTCCTCAGCATGGCTGGCTCAGGAATTCTGGGAGTTGAAGTCCACGAGTCATAAAAGAGCCAAGGTTCCCCACCCCTGCCCTATCAGAGGTCCTCAACCTTGGCAGCTCTAAGACTTGTGGACTTCAACTCCCAGAATTCCTGAGCCACCATGGCTAGCTTGGAAACCTCTCCCTTTCCCCTCAGCATAGCTGGCTCAGGAATTCTGGGAGTCATAAAAGAGCCAAGGTTGCCTTCACCTGACCTAGCCCAATAGCATTATCATTAGGATCTCCTTACACCAAAATAGGTGAGTGGCAGGGAACTTCCCCAGTATTTCTCAGCATGAGTTCAGGAAAAGAAGATAAGGATTAATAAGGGGTTTTTCAGAGTGCATTACAAGGAGAGATAAAACAATGGGGAGTTTTTACAAAACCTTTGGCAGAGAGTGGCCATTGTTTTGTTTCTTTGTTTGCTTATTACGCCTTTTAGCTTCCATTTCATGGAAGCAGTAAGAAAATAACCAAAGAAACCCTTACAAAATTTGCAAAACCTAAAACTATGGAAAAAGAATACAAAAATTAAAGCTATTGGCTAAGTTCAACTTTATTCACAAGCCTCAAAAGTTCAAATCATAAAATAGGGACATGACAACAATGAGAGAACACAATACAGGTAATCCTCGACCTGCAATTGTTTGTTTAGTGACCTTTTGAAGTCACAACGTCACTGAAAAAAGTGACTTATAAG